GGACACATGTTGGTTTCAGATATATAATTCCACAGTTCTCACAAGCAAAAAAAATGGTGACCAAATAAACATTGGAAACGTTAGTCGCCTGCTATGACTCGTCAACCGGTCACGAATGACGAAATATATGGAGATTGTTGGATAGTTATAATTATATGAAGTGCAAAAGGTAATAAAGATTTTATATGACGGTCATGTACTTTCGCATTGTAGACTATTTGTAAATTTTTTTGTGAGTTGACTCTTTCTATACCTATGTTAGCACAAGCAAAGATGGTACGCTTGAACCCAGACACCAAAAAACACAAAAAGAAAACAAAGACTACACTTCCGTAATGCTGTGCTGCAAGCAAAGAGACCGTGCACGTTGATTTTGTTAGCCGTATGGTGCGTGTGAAAAAATTATTAAAAGCAAGGTAGGTGTGTGAAGTTGATATAAGACAACTGCCAAGACTGTTTCTTCGGTTCTGCTGAAAGGTTCGACTTAAGACTTATTAAGCCATTAATACGTACACGTCGCCACATGCTCTGCGGCAGGCTATATAACCTCACCATCCCCATGCCAAAAGCATCAACAAGACAGACACAAACACCACAAGCTAAGAAGCTCCATAGCTGAATTAAGAGAGCACAAACACAAAAGCGTGTGCAAAACCAAATGGCTGCCTCCACCTACTTCCTCCTCGTTGCTTTTGTAGCATTGGTCATTTCTCAGGCCACTGCCTCTGACCCTAGCCCGCTCCAAGACTTCTGTGTTGCCGACATACACTCTCCGGGTATGCATACTCTCGCTTTAAGTCATGCTGTTTTCTTATACTAATTCACTAATCAAATAAGAATCATTTGTTAAAACAAGCATCTACATACAACAAGCATTTCAAGGTATGGCCTAATCACATGTTCTCCATCTAACTATTTGTCCTCGTCTATGCATACAGTGAAGGTGAATGGATTTGTTTGCAAGGACCCCATGGCAGTGAACGCCGATGACTTTTTCAAGGCAGCAAACCTTGACAAGCCTAGGGACACCATGAAAAGCAAGGTTGGATCCAATGTCACTTTGATCAATGTCATGCGGTTGCCTGGACTCAACACCCTGGGCATCTCGTTGGCTCGCATTGACTACGCACCATTAGGCGAAAATCCGCCACACACCCACCCACGTGCCACAGAGATCCTCACCGTGCTCGAGGGTACACTTTATGTTGGATTTGTCACCTCCAACACAGACAACGGTAACAAGCTATTCGCCAAGGTTCTCAACAAGGGTGACGTGTTTGTATTCCCCCAAGGGCTCATACACTTCCAATTCAACCCGGTCCATGACAAGCCGGCTGTGGCAATCGCTGCACTAAGCAGCCAGAACCCTGGGGTTATTACTATTGCGAACGCAGTCTTTGGATCAAAGCCACCGATCTCAGATGATGTCTTGGCCAAGGCCTTCCAGGTGCAAAAGGGAACTATTGATTGGCTTCAAGCTCAGTTCTGGGAGAACAACCACTACTAAGTAAATCAAGACTCAGTTCATTATTGTATAGGAAGATATGCTTATATGCATTTTGCATACTCCTGTATCTATTCAGTTACGCTATGCTACAGCCGATAATATTGAATAAATTGGAAGTTGTAACCAATTACTGTTTTTGTGTCTGTGCTGCAAGCTATACCACCATGTTCTTTTTTGAATATTTAAAGTGACGTGAAGAGATCATATAAAATTTATTCAATACTGTATGTATATGATATGCCGTTACATAAACAAGATTTCAGGACGTAATTTGGAGATGAATATTCCATGGAGCCGTCCAAATTGCTAAGCTAAACTATACTATCAACTGGTACATCAGCGAAGGTTAACTTAATCGACCAAGTAGGCCATGGAGCCACACGACCTATGTGTTCCACTACATGCATATAGTAACAGAAGTGAAATATCATACCTGGTCACATCCAATTCCAACGATGTATTACTACTTAAGCTCAATTTAATACAAATTTTGCAAGACAAAAGTCCACACACATGAGAAGTCTAACCGTCTAAATATACGGTAGTTTTTAAGGCACTATGTCAAAACAGCCAAAGGAGACGCCTTAATTAGTGACATGAAATTAAACACATGCCACTAATGTAAGATTAGTGGCGCGGGTAATTTGTCGCCCAGGTCTCACAGGATTGGCCACAGCGCCACGGTTCCTGACTTATGGGGAGCATGGGTCTATCTTATGACCGCCTCTGAGTAGTGCTTAATCCTCGAGGTATCAAGAAGCTCGTGCTTCCCCTAGTGTACTCGTTGGAGCCCCTCGCACGGGCCAAGATCTTGGTTGGATAACTCCGTGGATAGTCCCCGGGCCATCCCCACACGCAAGTGTGTCTTCGAAATGGCCAATCGTGGACTGCTCCCTACCATCTTCAATATCGAGCTTCCGGCTCAAACACCATGGGCCTCGTCCTTCGCACACCAGAGGTGGCTGCACCATAAACGTGGTTCTTGTGATATCACAAGGTTAGAAGCCGCTAGGGTACAATAATGGTGCACGCACGAGCACTAAGCTTCAGAGGTATGCAAACCTCTTTTACTAAGCCTAATGCAAGAGCTAAAGCGGTTTTCTAACTAGCCTAACCCCACCAGGAGAATTCGGTGACTGCCATGTCAGCCTAGTCGTTGCCGACCATTGGACCTTTCTCCGGTGACCACCGAATAAATCCGGTGCACCTAAAACTTTCTTTGGCGCCGCCCTCTCTATCCATCGCCAGATTATTCCGGTGCCTATAAAAGCTTTTGCAAAGACTTCTTCATCGTCCTAGCCTTTTCTCCGGTCCTCCCTGGTCGCAACCACCAATGTTTTGTTGGTGTTTGTCTAGCCTACTTCTGTGTACCGCCCTTTTCATTTCTCCGTTGCTTGTAAAAAGAGGCATCACAGGAGTTATTTGGTGCTCCTGTGCAGCACTCGTCTAGTTCCGTTTGTTTATGTCTTCTTGTCTGCGCTTCTTCTACTTTGGACTTTTTGCAAGTCTTCCAGGTATGATCTCCATTATTGCTCCATGGCCTTCGCTGAGGTGATCTTTAAATGCATGACTAACCATCCCAAATATTACAGCGTACACTTGACATATTAGCATATATAAGCCACTATCACAGAGTATACAATCACTGTTGGCCGATCACTGCCGACTGCTTTGCAATCGGTAGGGATAAGGTTCGTAGCTTCAACCGGTTGTGATAGGATAGCTTTCATATATTGCCCAATGGTAACACAGACCGGCAGTGATTCTTTAGCCATGCACCTAATTTTTTGTTTCAACATGGTTGATGAAGCAGGATCACAGTCACGGTGCTTTTTTTTTGAGATCTACAACTTTCGTTTTTGCTATTTGTCCATCCGAGTTCGTTTAAAAAATTCAAATTTTAAATTTTTGGAAATTCAAACGTTAATGAAGGGCCAATATCATATCAGATGCAAAAAAAAAGTCACTATCCGATGCAGCAAGACGTTAATGAAGGGCCAATGTCATATCAAAAAGTCTGGGATCTGGAGAATAGAAAAATAACATTTTGCTAATGTTGTGGCAATAGCAGGCTGCAGGCTAGCTTATGGGATGACCTCACTGGTGAAGCACGAATGACAGATGACGGTTTGGTCTTGTACCGATAGATATAGAAGCTTCACCAGATTAACTCAAAAGTAAAGCGTGTGCGGTAGCTACCCTTTAGGCGTTTACCAAGTTTGTCCCAGCCTTGGTACGGAAGCATTCCACTCGATTCATTCATTTATGTTAACTCCCGAAAAAATGGTGACCAAGTAAACATTGGAAACATGAGGAGTTGACTCTTTCTGCTATATACTACCTCCGTCCCAAATTAATGGTCGTTTTTTGTTTCCGCGTGCCATAAGTTTGACTAGATTTGTAGAAAACACGAGCAACATTTGTATTTCCAAATAAATTTATTATGAAAATAGATTTAAAGATCTATCTAATGGTATTAATTGTGTATCATAAATATTAATATCTTTTTATATAAAATTAGTCGTCAAAGTTATTTCTCAGGAAGCGAGAACGACAGTTATTTTGGGACGGAGGGACTATAACTCAACTAGTGGTCATGAATGACGACATGGAGATTATTAAATAGTTGTGATCAAGGTGTAAAGTAAATAAAGATATTGTACATGTGTTATAGAGAGGCTTCCCCACTGTTGACTCTTTCTATCTTTTATTAGCGAGGAGTTGACTCTTTCTATACGCATGTTAGCACAAGCATCGATGACTCTTTCTGTACCTCACGTATTAGTGTAAAGCTACTAAGAAGCAGTCAAGTGCTTGATCTAGTAAAGCGTGTAGGACACATGTTGGTTTCAGATATATAATTCCACAGTTCTCACAAGCAAAAAAAATGGTGACCAAATAAACATTGGAAACGTTAGTCGCCTGCTATGACTCGTCAACCGGTCACGAATGACGAAATATATGGAGATTGTTGGATAGTTATAATTATATGAAGTGCAAAAGGTAATAAAGATTTTATATGACGGTCATGTACTTTCGCATTGTAGACTATTTGTAAATTTTTTTGTGAGTTGACTCTTTCTATACCTATGTTAGCACAAGCAAAGATGGTACGCTTGAACCCAGACACCAAAAAACACAAAAAAGAAAACAAAGACTACACTTCCGTAATGCTGTGCTGCAAGCAAAGAGACCGTGCACGTTGATTTTGGTAGCCGTATGGTGCGTGTGAAAAAATTATTAAAAGCAAGGTAGGTGTGTGAAGTTGATATAAGACAACTGCCAAGACTGTTTCTTCGGTTCTGCTGAAAGGTTCGACTTAAGACTTATTAAGCCATTAATACGTACACGTCGCCACATGCTCTGCGGCAGGCTATATAACCTCACCATCCCCATGCCAAAAGCATCAACAAGACAGACACAAACACCACAAGCTAAGAAGCTCCATAGCTGAATTAAGAGAGCACAAACACAAAAGCGTGTGCAAAACCAAATGGCTGCCTCCACCTACTTCCTCCTCGTTGCTTTTGTAGCATTGGTCATTTCTCAGGCCACTGCCTCTGACCCTAGCCCGCTCCAAGACTTCTGTGTTGCCGACATACACTCTCCGGGTATGCATACTCTCGCTTTAAGTCATGCTGTTTTCTTATACTAATTCACTAATCAAATAAGAATCATTTGTTAAAACAAGCATCTACATACAACAAGCATTTCAAGGTATGGCCTAATCACATGTTCTCCATCTAACTATTTGTCCTCGTCTATGCATACAGTGAAGGTGAATGGATTTGTTTGCAAGGACCCCATGGCAGTGAACGCCGATGACTTTTTCAAGGCAGCAAACCTTGACAAGCCTAGGGACACCATGAAAAGCAAGGTTGGATCCAATGTCACTTTGATCAATGTCATGCGGTTGCCTGGACTCAACACCCTGGGCATCTCGTTGGCTCGCATTGACTACGCACCATTAGGCGAAAATCCGCCATACACACCCACCCACGTGCCACAGAGATCCTCACCGTGCTCGAGGGTACACTTTATATTGGATTTGTCACCTCCAACACAGACAACGGTAACAAGCTATTCGCCAAGGTTCTCAACAAGGGTGACGTGTTTGTATTCCCCCAAGGGCTCATACACTTCCAATTCAACCCGGTCCATGACAAGCCGGCTGTGGCAATCGCTGCACTAAGCAGCCAGAACCCTGGGGTTATTACTATTGTAACGAGTCTTTGGATCAAAGCCACCGATCTCAGATGATGTCTTGGCCAAGGCCTTCCAGGTGCAAAAGGAACTATTGATTGGCTTCAAGCTCAGTTCTGGGAGAACAACCACTACTAAGTAAATCAAGACTCAGTTCATTATTGTATAGGAAGATATGCTTATATGCATTTTGCATACTCCTGTATCTATTCAGTTACGCTATGCTACAGCCGATAATATTGAATAAATTGGAAGTTGTAACCAATTACTGTTTTTGTGTCTGTGCTGCAAGCTATACCACCATGTTCTTTTTGAATATTTAAAGTGACGTGAAGAGATCATATAAAATTTATTCAATACTGTATGTATATGATATGCCGTTACATAAACAAGATTTCAGGACGTAATTTGGAGATGAATATTCCATGGAGCCGTCCAAATTGCTAAGCTAAACTATACTATCAACTGGTACATCAGCGAAGGTTAACTTAATCGACCAAGTAGGCCATGGAGCCACACGACCTATGTGTTCCACTACATGCATATAGTAACAGAAGTGAAATATCATACCTGGTCACATCCAATTCCAACGATGTATTACTACTTAAGCTCAATTTAATACAAATTTTGCAAGACAAAAGTCCACACACATGAGAAGTCTAACCGTCTAAATATACGGTAGTTTTTAAGGCACTATGTCAAAACAGCCAAAGGAGACGCCTTAATTAGTGACATGAAATTAAACACATGCCACTAATGTAAGATTAGTGGCGCGGGTAATTTGTCGCCCAGGTCTCACAGGATCGGCCACAGCGCCACGGTTCCTGACTTATGGGGAGCATGGGTCTATCTTATGACCGCCTCTGAGTAGTGCTTAATCCTCGAGGTATCAAGAAGCTCGTGCTTCCCCTAGTGTACTCGTTGGAGCCCCTCGCACGGGCCAAGATCTTGGTTGGATAACTCCGTGGATAGTCCCCGGGCCATCCCCACACGCAAGTGTGTCTTGAAATGGCCAATCGTGGACTGCTCCCTACCATCTTCAATATCGAGCTTCGGCTCAAACACCATGGGCCTCGTTCCTTGGTACACCGAGAGGTGGCTGCACCATAAACGTGGTTCTTGTGATATCACAAGGTTAGAAGCCGCTAGGGTACAATAATGGTGCACGACGAGCACTAAGCTTCAGAGGTATGCAAACCTCTTTTACTAAGCCTAATGCAAGAGCTAAAGCGGTTTTCTAACTAGCCTAACCCCACCAGGAGAATTCTGGTGACTGCCATGTCAGCTAGTCGTTGCCGACCATTGGACCTTTCTCCGGTGACCACCGAATAAATCCGGTGCACCTAAAACTTTGGCGCCGCCCTCTCTATCCATCGCCAGATTATTCGGTGCCTATAAAAGCTTTTGCAAAGACTTCTTCATCGTCCTAGCCTTTTCTCCAGTCCTCCTGGTCGCAACCACCAATGTTTTGTTGGTGTTTGTCTAGCCTACTTCTGTGTACCGCCCTTTTCATTTCTCCGTTGCTTGTAAAAAGAGGCATCACAGGAGTTATTTGGTGCTCCTGTGCAGCACTCGTCTAGTTCCGTTTGTTTATGTCTTCTTGTCTGCGCTTCTTCTACTTTGGACTTTTGCAAGTCTTCCAGGTATGATCTCCATTATTGCTCCATGGCCTTCGCTGAGGTGATCTTTAAATGCATGACTAACCATCCCAAATATTACAGCGTACACTTGACATATTAGCATATATAAGCCACTATCACAGAGTATACAATCACTGTTGGCCGATCACTGCCGACTGCTTTGCAATCGGTAGGGATAAGGTTCGTAGCTTCAACCGGTTGTGATAGGATAGCTTTCATATATTGCCCAATGGTAACACGGACCGGCAGTGATTCTTTAGCCATGCACCTAATTTTTTGTTTCAACATGGTTGATGAAGCAGGATCACAGTCACGGTGCTTTTTTTGAGATCTACAACTTTCGTTTTTGCTATGTGTCCATCCGAGTTCGTTTAAAAATTCAAATTTTAAATTTTGGAAATTCAAACGTTAATGAAGGGCCAATATCATATCAGATGCAAAAAAAAGTCACTATCCGATGCAGCAAGACGTTAATGAAGGGCCAATGTCATATCAAAAGTCTGGGATCTGGAGAATAGAAAATAACATTTTGCTAATGTTGTGGCAATAGCAGGCTGCAGGCTAGCTTATGGGATGACCTCACTGGTGAAGCACGAATGACAGATGACGGTTTGGTCTTGTACCGATAGATATAGAAGCTTCACCAGATTAACTCAAAAGTAAAGCGTGTGCGGTAGCTACCCTTTAGGCGTTTACCAAGTTTGTCCCAGCCTTGGTACGGAAGCATTCCACTCGATTCATTCATTTATGTTAACTCCCGAAAAAAATGGTGACCAAGTAAACATTGGAAACATGAGGAGTTGACTCTTTCTGCTATATACTACCTCCGTCCCAAATTAATGGTCGTTTTTTGTTTCCGCGTGCCATAAGTTTGACTAGATTTGTAGAAAACACGAGCAACATTTGTATTTCCAAATAAATTTATTATGAAAATAGATTTAAAGATCTATCTAATGGTATTAATTGTGTATCATAAATATTAATATCTTTTTATATAAAATTAGTCGTCAAAGTTATTTCTCAGGAAGCGAGAACGACAGTTATTTTGGGACGGAGGGACTATAACTCAACTAGTGGTCATGAATGACGACATGGAGATTATTAAATAGTTGTGATCAAGGTGTAAAGTAAATAAAGATATTGTACATGTGTTATAGAGAGGCTTCCCCACTGTTGACTCTTTCTATCTTTTATTAGCGAGGAGTTGACTCTTTCTATACGCATGTTAGCACAAGCATCGATGACTCTTTCTGTACCTCACGTATTAGTGTAAAGCTACTAAGAAGCAGTCAAGTGCTTGATCTAGTAAAGCGTGTAGGACACATGTTGGTTTCAGATATATAATTCCACAGTTCTCACAAGCAAAAAAAATGGTGACCAAATAAACATTGGAAACGTTAGTCGCCTGCTATGACTCGTCAACCGGTCACGAATGACGAAATATATGGAGATTGTTGGATAGTTATAATTATATGAAGTGCAAAAGGTAATAAAGATTTTATGTGACGGTCATGTACTTTCGCATTGTAGACTATTTGTAAATTTTTTTGTGAGTTGACTCTTTCTATACCTATGTTAGCACAAGCAAAGATGGTACGCTTGAACCCAGACACCAAAAAACACAAAAAGAAAACAAAGACTACACTTCCGTAATGCTGTGCTGCAAGCAAAGAGACCGTGCACGTTGATTTTGGTAGCCGTATGGTGCGTGTGAAAAAATTATTAAAAGCAAGGTAGGTGTGTGAAGTTGATATAAGACAACTGCCAAGACTGTTTCTTCGGTTCTGCTGAAAGGTTCGACTTAAGACTTATTAAGCCATTAATACGTACACGTCGCCACATGCTCTGCGGCAGGCTATATAACCTCACCATCCCCATGCCAAAAGCATCAACAAGACAGACACAAACACCACAAGCTAAGAAGCTCCATAGCTGAATTAAGAGAGCACAAACACAAAAGCGTGTGCAAAACCAAATGGCTGCCTCCACCTACTTCCTCCTCGTTGCTTTTGTAGCATTGGTCATTTCTCAGGCCACTGCCTCTGACCCTAGCCCGCTCCAAGACTTCTGTGTTGCCGACATACACTCTCCGGGTATGCATACTCTCGCTTTAAGTCATGCTGTTTTCTTATACTAATTCACTAATCAAATAAGAATCATTTGTTAAAACAAGCATCTACATACAACAAGCATTTCAAGGTATGGCCTAATCACATGTTCTCCATCTAACTATTTGTCCTCGTCTATGCATACAGTGAAGGTGAATGGATTTGTTTGCAAGGACCCCATGGCAGTGAACGCCGATGACTTTTTCAAGGCAGCAAACCTTGACAAGCCTAGGGACACCATGAAAAGCAAGGTTGGATCCAATGTCACTTTGATCAATGTCATGCGGTTGCCTGGACTCAACACCCTGGGCATCTCGTTGGCTCGCATTGACTACGCACCATTAGGCGAAAATCCGCCACACACCCACCCACGTGCCACAGAGATCCTCACCGTGCTCGAGGGTACACTTTATGTTGGATTTGTCACCTCCAACACAGACAACGGTAACAAGCTATTCGCCAAGGTTCTCAACAAGGGTGACGTGTTTGTATTCCCCCAAGGGCTCATACACTTCCAATTCAACCCGGTCCATGACAAGCCGGCTGTGGCAATCGCTGCACTAAGCAGCCAGAACCCTGGGGTTATTACTATTGCGAACGCAGTCTTTGGATCAAAGCCACCGATCTCAGATGATGTCTTGGCCAAGGCCTTCCAGGTGCAAAAGGGAACTATTGATTGGCTTCAAGCTCAGTTCTGGGAGAACAACCACTACTAAGTAAATCAAGACTCAGTTCATTATTGTATAGGAAGATATGCTTATATGCATTTTGCATACTCCTGTATCTATTCAGTTACGCTATGCTACAGCCGATAATATTGAATAAATTGGAAGTTGTAACCAATTACTGTTTTTGTGTCTGTGCTGCAAGCTATACCACCATGTTCTTTTTTGAATATTTAAAGTGACGTGAAGAGATCATATAAAATTTATTCAATACTGTATGTATATGATATGCCGTTACATAAACAAGATTTCAGGACGTAATTTGGAGATGAATATTCCATGGAGCCGTCCAAATTGCTAAGCTAAACTATACTATCAACTGGTACATCAGCGAAGGTTAACTTAATCGACCAAGTAGGCCATGGAGCCACACGACCTATGTGTTCCACTACATGCATATAGTAACAGAAGTGAAATATCATACCTGGTCACATCCAATTCCAACGATGTATTACTACTTAAGCTCAATTTAATACAAATTTTGCAAGACAAAAGTCCACACACATGAGAAGTCTAACCGTCTAAATATACGGTAGTTTTTAAGGCACTATGTCAAAACAGCCAAAGGAGACGCCTTAATTAGTGACATGAAATTAAACACATGCCACTAATGTAAGATTAGTGGCGCGGGTAATTTGTCGCTCAGGTCTCACAGGATCGCCACAGCGCCACGGTTCACGACTTATGGGGAGCATGGGTCTATCTTATGACCGCCTCGAGTAGTGCTTAATCCTCGAGGTATCAAGAAGCTCGTGCTTCCCCTAGTGTACTCGTTGGAGCCCCCGCACGGGCCAAGATCTTGGTTGGATAACTCCGTGGATAGTCCCCGGGCCATCCCCACATGCAAGTGTGTCTTGAAATGGCCAATCGTGGACTGCTCCCTACCATCTTCAATATCGAGCTTCGGCTCAAACACCATGGGCCTCGTTCCTTGGTACACCAGAGGTGGCCGCACCATAAACGTGGTTCTTGTGATATCACAAGGTTAGAAGCCGCTAGGGTACAATAATGGTGCGCTTACGAGCACTAAGCTTCAGAGGTATGCAAACCTCTTTTACTAAGCCTAATGCAAGAGCTAAAGCGGTTTTCTAACTAGCCTAACCCCACCAGGAGAATTCTGGTGACTGCCATGTCAGCTAGTCGTTGCCGACCATTGGACCTTTCTCCGGTGACCACCGAATAAATCCGGTGCACCTAAAACTTTCTTTGGCGCCGCCCTCTCTATCCATCGCCAGATTATTCCGGTGCCTATAAAAGCTTTTGCAAAGACTTCTTCATCGTCCTAGCCTTTTCTCCGGTCCTCCCTGGTCGCAACCACCAATGTTTTGTTGGTGTTTGTCTTGCCTACTTCTGTGTACCGCCCTTTTCATTTCTCCGTTGCTTGTAAAAAGAGGCATCACAGGAGTTATCCGGTGCTCCTGTGCAGCACTCATCTAGTTCCGTAAGTCTTCTTGTCTGCGCTTCTTCTACTTTGGACTTTTTGGATGTCTTCCAGGTATGATCTCCCACTATGCCAGAATTGCACATCACTACCGGCCTCATCACTGCTGGATTTGTGAGAACTGGCAGTGATGTACTTTCACTGCCGGTTGTGAGCTCGAAAATGAGAAAATGATTGGGGCTGGGCTAAAACCGGCAGTGAAGGACCACATCACTGCCGGTTTGTGGCTTGAACCGGCAGTGTTTTGGCGGCCACTTATCACTGTCGGTTCGAGCCACAAACCGGCAGTGATTTGGCTATATCACTGTCGGTTCTAGCCAAGAACCGACGGTGATAAGCCTACAGCACAAAAAGGCTGCAGACGTCCTCTTCTTCCTCCTCTCTTCCATCCTGAGAACAGAGGCGCGCATTCGGGCCCTTCCCTCCATTGTTGTGGTTGCTCTTCACCATGAAGCTAGCGCTTGGATTTTGAAGAATGGCTTGATCTTTTTGCTTTAAGGTTAGTAACAAACATCCACTCCTTTGATTTTGTTGCTTAATTAGCTTCGTTTTGATGGCTACATTGCTTGATTCTCATTCTAGTTCTTTCTCCATTCTAGAGAGCACTTTTCCAATTGGACATTTGTGCAAGGCTCAAATTGTGGTGAATCCATCATCCAAACGGTTGGTGTCTATGAACACATTTAAATTCCTAGCTAATTATTCCATGGTGGTCAAGATCATCATTGTTAGTATGTGATGCTATAATTAGTTCTTAGAAGTAGAGTAGAATAGTTGTTCTTCAATATTGTGCAATAATTGTTTTTACTACGATTTTCAATTTACAGGGCCGGGGCTACCAATTTCAATTTTCCAATAATTAGTGTACAATAATGTTTTCCAAAAATGGTACTTTCGAGCTACAATTGTTGTTCATGAAGCTCGATTTCTTATTAATTCTTTGTAATTACTGTCTCAGTATTTTTTTTGTGCAGAGATGGATCGAGATGCATCTGTCCCGAACAAACAAGCGGTACATGCATGGCGTCAGCTAGTTTATCACTGATGCCAAAGCCCATGCTGGGAATGGGAACCCTGTCTTCCGCCCATGCAAAGATTGCAAGAATCATAGGAACTTTCGTCAAATTGAGTCTATACGATCGCACTTGATTACTAGGGGGTTCATGCCAAACTATACGATATGAACTATGCATGGCGAGGTTGGTGTGAATGTTCTGCAGGAAAACGATGATGATGTGGACATGCCTAACGTAGCCATCCACGATGCTGACGAGGAACCCGGTGTCAACACGGAACCTATGGCCACTGTTAATAATGTGTTGAGGAACACGCTAGCTGACGACACCGAGGATAACGATGGCATTTCTCAGCTGCTATGTAATGTAGAGACCGGATGTCTTAGTGAAAGACAGCTAAGAAAGCTAGAGAAAATAAGACAAGATGGCAAAACACCATTGTATAGGAATTGTCCAATGAGCAAACTGGAAGCCAACATCATGCTGTTACAGTTCAAATCGACAAACGGATTGAGTGATAAAGGCTTCGATCAGTTGTTAGGTATAATAAGGAAAATGCTCCCGAAAAAAAATGAGTTGCCAAAAAAGACATACATGGCCAAGCAAATGATCTGCCCCATCGGCCTTGAGGTTGAAAAAATCCACGCGTGTTCCAAAGATTGCATATTGTACCATGGAGAAAAATACAAAGACTTGGACAATTGCCCCAAGTGTAAAGCTCCACGGTACAAGGAAGAGCCGTCAGATGAGGGTACCAAGACCAGAGGAGGTCCTGTAAAGGTCATTTGGTATTTCCCTATAGCTCCCCGGGTGCATAGGTTGTTTGCATGTGCAAAGTCAGCCAAGCTGTTACGCTGCCATGGCGAAGAGCGTAAGAAAGATACAATGATAAGGCACCCCACCGATGGGCTTGACTGGAGGACTGTCAATACTATGTTCTATAAGGACATCGGTGGAGAGGTAAGGCACCTTTGGTTTGCTTTGAGCACAGATGGGATGAATCCTTTCGACCAGGTTAGAAGCAATCATAGCACCTGGCCAGTGATGCTCTGTATATACAACCTTCCACCTTGGGTCTGTATGAAGCGGTCGTACATCCAGATGTCACTACTGATCCAAGGGCCAAGACAACCTAGGAATAACATCGATGTGTTTCTGGAACCAGTGATCGATGAACTAGTGGAGATGTTTGAAAAGGGTTTGCGGATGTTTGGGACGAGTACAAAAAGGAACAGGTCACGATCAAGGGAGTACTTATCGCTACAATCACTGACCTGACAGGTCGAGGTTCGTTGTCCGGACAGAAGACAAAAGGCTATACTGGATGTGTCGAGTGCTTGGACGACACCGATGAGGTAAATCTGCCAAATAACTCAAAGATAGTTTATATGGGACACCGTAGGTTCCTACCTAAGGATCACCCTTACCGCAGGAACAGAAAAGATTTCAATGGTACTATTGAGAAACGCTTAGCTCCAAAATATCGAGACGGGCCTGTGATACTTCGAGAACTCAACAAACTGGAGGTTGTCCTTGGGAAGGGGGACAATGCAGTAGCAGCGCCTGATGGGAGCATTTGGAAGAAAAAATCGGTTTTCTAGAAACTACCTTACTAGCCATTTCTGAGTGTACACCAATGTCTTGATCCCATGCACATCACTAAAAATGTGTGCGCTAACACTCTTAACACCTTGATGGACACCGGGGGGACATCGAAGGATTCACTAGCCACACGCCTGGATATGCAACACTTGGGAATCAGGAAGGAGCTGCATCCCGTGGAGCTAGAGAATGGCTAGTTCA